CCTTGCTATTTTTAGGAAATCTATTTTCATAATCGCCACAATCCTGTCTTCTATATGTGATATTCTGTCCTCACATTAGCTTATTCTGCTATGTATACTTTAATGGAGTTTTTAATCTCCTGGATATGTTTGAATCTGTTTGATGGACCATTTCTTTCCTGTGCTGGGCATTTATGGTTTCCACCATGTTACTTAACTCCTCTATCTTCTTGTCTGTATCTGCTCTAGAGTCACTAAGCATATCTTTCATTTTAGTCATCATTTCAGTAGTTTCCTGGGAAATTACTTCTGTTTTGAATTTTTCTAGAGCCTCATTCATCTGCTTTGTTACTTCTGCTGTTAGCACTTCTGAGAGTCTAGCTGGATGGCTTTCGGGTTGTTCCACCTCATTGCCCCCAGGGGTTGCCTTTGGTGAGGTGAAAGTCTGAGTGGGGAGGGGGATGCATCTTGTTTAAGTGTCTTCTCCTTTTCTTTATTTTTAAGTTTGATTCCTGGGTTGATGCTTCTATATTGTTTATAGCAAGTAGATTTATTGCCAGAATTTAAAAGTCTTAGGAAATGACTACTTTTCAAGGTGTCTTCTGGGTGTAGCTGGCTTTTGGGTTTTGAGTCTGTTATAAGACCCTACCTCTTCAATTTATTGGGGATGAGAAATTTCTGCCTACTTGGCCCAGTTGCCAGTTCTTTGGCACTGGCCTATAGGTTGTTTGTTTTTTTTAAGACCGTTAGGCAATCTCAGTCTTAGTATATCAGAAGGAATGATCAATTAGCACAGTTATGACAACCTTGGCTAAAGTAGTACAATCAGCAGTAACAGTAGCATCAAATACAGCCTAGAAAATGACAAACTGTGGTAATTTAATTTGCTACCTTTAACTGTATGAACTAGATTTGTGGTTATATAACAAAGTCTAGAATTAATCCAAAAATTGCATACAATAAATAAGCCCTTAATATGGAGATTTTACCCTTGGGGAGAAGATTGACAAAGGGTTGGGGGCAAAACAGAAATAGAAGAAGAGGAAGAGATTATAGAAGCAAGGCTAGAGGACCAACTTTCGGAAACTAGTGAAGAAGACAGGTGGGAGAGAGAAAAGGGAAAAATAAAAACAAGAACAGCACCTAAAAAAACAGAAGCTAAAAGCCATGTTCAAACAATCAAGAAAAAATAAGAACCATGAAGGAGGAAAAAACAGAGAAAAGAAGAAAAAAAACATCCAGTTCAAGGTGTGTCTGCTGTCACTGGTAGGCAACTCTGGCAAACAAGAGTCCAGAACCAAATTGATTAATCTCAGCAAGCCAGCTGCAACTTCATGGTGGGGAAGTTGGTAATCCCAGCCAGCCTGCCCCTTTAGTTCCTCTGCAGTTCAGGCCAGTTTCTGGCTATGAAGCTGGAACCAGATTCCTTGAGCCTACAACAGTCTGTGTATCACTTGCTGGCTTGAACTCCACTCCCTGGCTTTCTGCTTACTTGAACTCAGCACCCACATTGAGACACAAGGAGCAACTAGATGAAGTCTGCCCACAGCTATTTCAAGCTCAATTAGCTTCTTTTCAAAATGGCTACCAGCCAGTTGCCCTCTCCTGGGTGAGGTCTGAACCCAGATAACTCACCAGCCACTGTGTCCACTGCTCCATTCCACTGGTGCATTTTTCCCTGGAGGTCTCTGGGGTTGCCAGTAATCACCATGTGTCTGCAGATTTAGCCCACTGTTCCATGCTGAGAGTCTGGGCTCTGGAAAAGGGTGCTGCTTGCTCTCTCCCTCTTCTTTGTTAAAGTCTCTCTCTTCACTCTACCTATGGACTTCATTTCTCACCTCAGATCCTTCCTCGGTCCTAGGGACTCATTTCCTTCATTCTCCTCATGTTGCTATATTCCAAGGTCGGGACATCAAATCTTGAGGAGGCTGGGGATGTGGCTCAGTGGTGCCACACCTGCCTGGCAAGTGCAAGGTCCTCAGTTTGATCCCTGGTACCAAAAGAAAGACACCAAATCTTAGAGAGACTCTTTCTTTGCTGTTTATCATTCTGCCATCTGCCTTCTACTCTTATGAGCAGGCATTCTGTGAGGAAAAGCTGCATCCATGATATCATGGCATATTCCTGATTCATATTGATTGTAATCCATAATTTAATGTTCTTTTCATGGCTGGTTTGCCCAGTGGAGCCATGGAGGGGCTCTCCCCGTCCCTCATTTTGAGCACTTCCTTGATTTCTGGTCATCCTTCCAACTGGTCTCTACTAGTAGTATCCAGGGCCTGGGATTCACCATTTGGTAGTTCTCTTTTGTGCAGCTTGCTATTAGAGACCAGCACCTGGGTGTCAGCTAACCTTGTATAGCTCTGGTTATTACATTAGAGATAGCAGTTAATGTGAAAGGCTGAATTTTACCTACTTAGCCTTGGTATTTTGCTGACTTGGGAAAAGACTGAGCCTTTGTTCATGCTTTGTAACCATGAGTATTTCTTCTTGGTATCTTGCTTATTTAAGCCCTTTGGGCTACATCAATTCTGGGATGTTGATCTTTTCATTGTCAGGAAAGCAAGTCAGTCTGTATTAGCACTTAGTGCCTCACACACAGCAGGTTACAATTGCTGTTATTAATTGGTATCATCCTTTGTTGAAGGCTCCCAAGAGTAATTTTTAAACTCCATCCCCCAGACATATTGCTTTTCTAGTCACAAGGCAAAGCAGTGCCAGCTTAGCGGTCTACATGTCACTCTGTCCCATCATTCTCTTGGTTGTGGTCATGGTGATTGCAAACGGTTGCTGGCAGCCAAGGCCCAGTGGCAGAGGTCCAGGCCTGAGGCCCAGTGTGCCACCTTTCTGCTCAGGAACAGGCCTCGGGGTTACCAAGTTCACTGCCCCTCTTCCACTCTACAGGAGGTGGACTGGGAGGTGGAGCTGGCCGTGGTCATTGGGAAGAAAGGCAAGCACATCCAGGTGAGAGCTTCTGCTGCTGCCTGCTGTCCTTGGCCCTGGGATGTGGTCGGCACCTCCCTGCTGTGTGACTCCTTGTCCCACCTAGCTTTGAATATGAACGTGTGAGGATGGCCTTGAGATCGTTTATCCTAGGGGTTAGTGTCACCTGTGACATAGCTTATCTAGCCAAACCCTACCTCTGTAGGACACAGATGCCATGGCTCATGTGGCGGGCTTCACCGTGGCTCATGATGTGAGTGCTCGGGACTGGCAAGTGAGACGCAATGGGAAGCAGTGGCTGCTGGGAAAGACCTTTGACACCTTCTGTCCCCTGGGCCCTGCTTTGGTTACCAAGGACAGTGTAGCAGGTAGGTACCTGTCTTTGCTACTTGTGCCTACCCTTGGGCAGATACTCAGGGTCAGAAGGCAGTGGTGCAGCTGCCAAGTGCCCCTCCCCCAGCAGGTGCAGCCCTGGGTGTGAGTTCTGCAGGCATTCTTCCCTGTCCCTATACAGGGGACAGTGGTGGGACTTGTTCATAAAGTAAATGACAGAGAACAGAGCTGCACTGGAGGCTGAATTGGGCTACCCCTTGTCACCACGTGGAACAGGCTGAGTTGGGAAGACGCACAGTTGGCCCTGAGCATTGTGCAGAACAACTGTCAAGCCTGTTCATTTTCCACACGGAGGAAGATGTGGAAGTACCCGCAGGGCCTGGCCCACATGCACAGGACAGCACTAGCCACAGGCAGCAAGGACCTGGGAGGGCCAGGTATAACCTGAAACACAGCTGCTAGAGGGTGGCAGGGCCACAGGGGGAGCCACGCTAATGGTGGCCAGGCCTGACGGCACCTGATATAGAGTCCTCTGGAAGCCACCTGGGGTCACAGAACAGGCTGTGAAGGTGCAAGTCACCCTGCATACTGTACTGCCAGGTTCATGGGGTTTCACTGCCCATGCTGCTTTGTGGCTATGCAGTCATGTTTACAGCTGTATTTGCCTCATCTGCTGACAGGTGTCTGTTTTGTTGTTTGTTTTTATTTTTTGTTTTGGGGCTTTTTTTGGTTTGGTTTGTTTTGTTTGGCTTGGTACCAGGGATCAAACTCAGGACTTTGCACTTGCTGGCAGGTGCTACCCCACTGAACTAAATTTCCATCCCAGATGTCTGGTTTGTTAAGTCAAAACCACCAGCCATTTTTCTTCCCCAAGTGGCTACTGGCTGGTGTTCTGAGTGTGGCAGGGAAGCAGGGGTAGTGTGTACAGGGTAGCGCACTGAGCCAAGGTGGCAGACAGGGCCGTCACCTTGGCAGGTGGTGAAGCAGGGAGGGGTTAGGGAAGTGGGGTAACCCACAGTGCTACTGTGTATTTCAGATCCACACAACCTGAAGATCTGCTGTCGTGTGAATGGGGAGGTGATGCAGAGCAGTAACACCAACCAGATGGTGTTCAAAACGGAGCAGCTCATTGCCTGGGTCTCCCGGTGAGAGGGCGGAGCTTGTGCCAAGCTGTGGCCCCACGACCTGTGTCTCACCTGGCCCTTCTGCTTTGCTCTAGGTTTGTCACTCTCTATCCAGGGGATGTCATCCTGACTGGGACACCCCCGGGTGTTGGGATGTTCAGGAAGCCACCCATCTTTCTCAAGGTAGGTTAGCTGAAAGAAGGAGAGAGCAAGGATGAGGCCTGAGCAGGGTGGGCAGGCTTGTTGGAGAGATCTGCGGGCCTCTGTGTGCTGACCCCTCCTGCCTGCTGTTGCAGAAGGGGGATGAAGTCCAGTGTGAGATTGAAGAACTTGGGGTCATTGTCAACAAGGTTGTGTGACAGCTTCCTTACAAGCCCAGGAGACAGGACAGCCACCTGCTGCCAGCAGGCCCAGTGCCAGCCCTTCTGCCCCTGGGCTGCTCTTCTAATAGGAGGGAGGAAGGTGGAACCCTCCACAGTAAACTTGCTGAGGCAAAGCTGCAGCTTGGCTTCTGATGTTCTTTGAACTTCAGGGCTGGGGAAGGAAGGAACAGCCACACACACCAAAAAGGTACTGCAGAGAAAGAGGTCACAGCTGGTCCTCTTGTTTAATCACACTGAAGGACAGAGACAATGAGAGTACAGACTTTTTTTTAATCATAGGCATTTTATTCATTTAAATGAAACACCTGATGTGTATTTTACATACACACAGATACATCTGTACACACAAGATTACAACAATCTGTAGATAATCAAGTCTCATAAAATGGCTTAGTATTTGCATCTAACCTATGCATATCTTCCCATTTCCCTAGATTACTTGTAATACCTAATATGATATGAATGCTCTATAAATCATTATATTACTTAGGGAATGACAAACAAGTAAGAGGACAGACTTTATAGTCCAGTGAAGGTTATGGGGCCCATAACCTCTGGGCCAAGGAGGCTCAGATCAGGCTCTACCCTGCATCCTAGCTACACAAATTGTCGGATGAACTGTTCCAGTCTGTCCTGGCTGTCCTGGCTGGCAAACGCGGGGGAAAGGGTGAGCTGTGGACCTGCAGGGCTGGGTGTCTGCTGCAGTACCTGGCAGTGACACAGACCATGAGGCCTGAGTTCGGGCCAAGTCTGTCCCCTGAAGCCCTCCACGGGACCTCCAGCCCTTCAGGCCTCAGTGTCTTGAGTGCAAATGCTGCAACTCATGTCTCAAAGCATCCTGGCTCCCCATTTGGGCATAGGGAAGCAAGTGGTTTAGGAAGCTCCCGAGGGTGGGGAACCACCCAGGCCCCCAACACACACATACTCCCCAGAAAAGCTCATGTTAGGTGTCATCTGGGTCAGCTCTATAGCCTGGGTATAGGGACAGGGGACGGAGACAGCAGTGCTGGCCCCTCTCACCCCCAGGTCTCTGAAGGTCCAGACAGCGCTGATGGCAAGGCTTGGGTCCGCATACTCTGCAGGAAGAGAGGTGAAGGGTGGAGCAGGGCAAGGAGCTCCTGGACACAGCTCTTGTGTAAACGAGGAAAGCAGAGTTAGCTCTGTGGCTCTCCTTCCCATCAAGCTGCCATTGCCCAGCAGGGGGCAGCAGCACCATCTCCCAGAACCTGGGCTTGCTGCCTGAGACTCACCAAACAGCCCTTCCTCCTGGGCGGTGGTCTGCAGGAACTCAAGCAGCTGCTCCACATAGCCCGACTCTGCAGGAGAAAAGATCTAGCCCAGGGCTATGGGCAGAGCCCTGGGAATCACAGAGAAGTTGGGCCTCACCAGTGTCGGGCAGCCGTGCCTGGTGGAGGAAGGCAGCAGCCTGGGCGAAAGCTTTGAGCAGTGGCCTGAGCAGGTGACAGAGGAAGATGAAGAAGTCAGGGCAGCGTGACTGCTCGCTGAGCTGGAAGGGGACAGACGCAGGCCAGAGTGAGGGCAGCACCCCACTGCGACTCTTACCACAAGCCTCCCTCCCAGGCCCAACCAACACACCCTGAAGCACTGGCCCTGAGCCTCCTCAAAGTCATCACTGTCACTGTCACTGAAGTCCCCACTTAGTTTCCACAGCAATTTTGCACTCAAACGCTGTCTCCCTGTGTCACAGGCTGGCCAAGAGCTTGGGGTCTGGGGGCCATACGAGCCATTGGTCCTTGGCAGGCAGGCTGGGATCCACCCTTTGGCTCCCAGACCGGATGCGTGCAGGTAAAACCAGGAAAGCAGATCTGGGGAGCCAAGAAGGATACCAGAGCAGGACCAGGCCACAGCATATGCTGGGCCACATGCAGGGTGGCAGGAAGCCAGTACCCACCCACAGGGACCACAGCTCTGTGGGCAGGAAATACGGGCAGGAAGTTGGCAGGAACCTTCCAGGAATGCATGTCCAGTCCCATCATGAGAGAAGGCCATTGTGAGAGGGCGGGTGTGGTGGAGCCAGGCCTCCCTATCTCCTGAGCGGATAGGGTAGCACCTGGTAGAGGGGCCTGGGGCTACTGCCCTGCCTACCTCCTCAGCAACCAGGAGCCCGCACTGGATGAGCCGGTCCAGCACCTCCTGACAGTAGCAGTAGGAAGACTGGCAGGGCTAGGGAAGAGGGGCACCTGTGTGGCCTCAGGAGACCAGGCCAGGGGCAGGGTAGGGTAGAAGGGGGTCCTCTAATGGAATAGGGCAGAAGTTAGGTGGGGCTTGGGGCAGGCCTGACCTTCAACAGTAGCAGGTCCCTGGGCAGCAGGTGCAGCAACAGCAGGACCTGGTGGTACAGTTCCCTCTGGCTCAGCAGCTCTACACCCTGCAGCTCCCAGGGCCCCTCAGGTGGCACTCTCCCTGCCAGCAGCGCCCGCACAGCACATGCTGGTGGAGAAGGGGGAGTGAGGAAGGGCCATACCTTCTCCCCGAACACCTCCCAGCCACTGAGCCCTGGGCACTCACCACCCACTGCCTCGCTCAGGAAGACGGGCAGCAGCTCAGCACTCAGGTGTGCCAGGTGTACAAGGCCTGGGCCAGGCCTTGGGACTACCAGCAGGTCCCCTTGCTGGACCCGCAGCAGGACCACACGTGCCCGCAGCAGGCTCAGTGTATGCTGCACCAGGCTCCGCAGCTGCCCCGAGAAGCCCACATCAAAGCCACGCAGCAGCGTCTCCTCCGTCAGCCAGGAGAACTCCACCAGCAGCCGGGACAGGGCCACACCCTGGGGGCAGAGTGGGGCTGAGCAGGCAGCAGGGCTGCACCCTGGCCCCACCACGCCACACCCTACCTTTCGGTGCTTGCACAGCAGCAGCGTCGCCATGATGGCCGTGCTCATCACTGCCGAGCTCGCCACACTGGCTGGGGGTGGTGGGCTGCTGGTCAGGTCCTCACCCGGAGGCCTGGTCCTGCCATCCTCTGCCAAGTGTCTACATCCCACCCACTTCCACACCACCCTGCAGTCTCTGCCCCTCTGAAGGGGCCACTCCATGCAGGCACGGGTGAGGCTTTTCTCTCCCTGTCACCACTAAGGGTGGGCTGAGGAGAGGGGGTGCCCCAGGGAGGTGGCTGCAGCTGGGCCCACCCCCTCCGCACAGTTCATCCTCAGCACAGGCAGCCCTTTGTGCCCTCAGCTGCTCCCTCTGCTCCCTTCTGCCCTCCACAGGGGCAGGGGAGGACTCCAATGTGCCCCTGAGGAAAGTGGGCTCCTCAGGATGCCCCTGAAGCCCAGAGCATCATCCTCACCATTCAGGACATGGCAGCTCAGCCTCCTCACCAGGAGCTGGTCCTCCTCCCTGAGGGCCAGGAGCAGCCCGGTGACTGGGGTCCACTCCTGCTCCTTCTCAGTGTCTGGGACAGTGGTACTGGGCCAGAAACAATAGACCAGAGAATAAAGGACCAAGCCTACAAACAGTCATGGGGGCCTAGAGCCTTCCCTACAGCCCAGGTGTCCCCCACCCGAGGCCAGCCTGGGGGATGGCTCCTGGGACTTGCTCCTTTCTGGCCTGCCCCAAGTCCCACAGACTGAGCAAGGCGAATCCCTGTGCTGTTCTGGCTGACACCGGCTGGGTGGAAGGAGGGCTGCCAACTGCGGGGCACACTGGGAGCAGAAGGGCTGTCGCCCACCTACCACTGGCCCAACACGACTGGCTGCAGCAAGTGCTCCAGGGTCTGCTTGTCGCCCCAGCAGCTTCTGGCGTTGGTGGTATATTCCTGGCCAGAACAAGAACCTCAGTGGCCAGTGATGTTCCCCCAGGACAGCTACACACAGCCCACCAAGGCTGGTGAACCCCAGGCCTTCCCACCTGTGCCCACCTAGCCCTGTACCTGCAGGGAGAAGGGCTGGGCAAGGTGCACTCGGACGCAGACCTTGTGGCCGCAGCCCCAGCAGCTGTAGAGTCTCCTCAGGACAGCCAGAGCTCCGGTCCACAGCCCCAGGGGGGCCGAGGCCTGCCAGGAGGAAGGCAGAGTCTGCAGCCTTCAGGGGCTCCCACCCCAGCCCTCTCAGGCACCGCTGCTCCCCACCTGCTCAGCTCTATCCCAGGCCCAACCTCACACAGGACCTTGCCCACTCCCAAGCTCTTTTTCTCATCCACACAACAGGAGAAATTCCTCCCTAGCAGGGCTTTTAAGGACTAAATGAGAGGCTGATGGAGGGGCCTTGGCACACGCCACAGATTAATAGCTGTAGGGAGAGCTTCTTGGCACATACTACACTCCTTGCTTTAAACCGAGCCCTGAAGAGGATGCAGCAGTGCCTCCTGCCTGGAGCCGGTACCCACCCACATGGGGTCCCCAGGGCAGAAGGGTCTCACGTGGTGCATGTCATATGATGCATCTGGAACCAGGTCATACGTGACGGCCACTGGCACCAGTGTAACATCAGGGACTATGCCTGCCTGCACCGCCTGTACCACCAGCCCCAGCCAGGCTTGGCCCAGGGCTGATAGCCGTGGCCCTGGGGCTCCAGGAGCTTCCTCCAGGAAGATGAGCAGGGGCTGCCCACTGCCCAGCAGCTGCTCCACAGCCTGGGATGGGGGAGCAGGTGTCAAGGCCAGAGCACAAACAGACCCCTATGTCCTGGCCTGGCTCTCCACAGCCAAGGGGACACTTACAGCATGGACCACAGTCCTCGCAATGACCCCCTCAGAGCTGTCCAGGGAGAGGTTGGCCTCTGCAGGCAGGAAAAGGCCCCCAAGATTCCTCAGCAGAGCTCTGTGGGGCAGAGGGTAGAGTGTGGTGAGAGGCTGGACTCTGGGCAAGGGAGAGCCTTGCACCCAGGGTCAGCCTATGTAGGAGCAGCCCCGGGGAATGGGGCCTTTGGGGGACTGCTGCCCACACACCCCATACCCCTGCCCCAGCCTGGGACTTGTCTCAGTACAACCAAGGCACAGGCTCTTACCTGAGGGCAGGGGAACAGGAGCGGGGGTCCCACGCCACGCGAAGCACGCCCAGGCCCTGGGAGAACAGCACAAAGGGCAGCAGGAGCCCATCCAGGAGCGACTTGTGAGTGGAGAGGAGGATGAGCGGTGAGCCCTGCTCGGAGAGACCAGAGGCGACTGCCACACAGTCCTAAGCCCCAGGCAGTCCTAAGGGATGGGGTGGGGATGGGGCTTGGATTCCCTGCTCAGCCATTCCCCAAAAGGAAAAAGCCTTCCAACAACTGTGACTTAAATGAGCACTGACAAACGGCCTTGGGACCATGATGAGAAAACGTTCCAAGAAGCCCCAAGGGATCAGGGCCATGAGACGGGAAGGCGCCCAAGCAGTGGGTTTTCCCACCAGCTGACAGGGCCAGCACGGACTCGGGGCCCGGCTCACCTCTGCTCCTGCCCGCCACCCAGCGTGCCCACTTACCGCCTCGGCAGCCTTGTGCACCATCTTCATCTGGCCTTTGTGGAGCTGCACATTCAGGAAGAGGCAGTTCAGGAGCCGCAGCAGCGCCCAGCTGAACAGCCTGGGAAGTGACACCAACTGACTGTCAGGGGCCATTCATAAGTCCCCTTCTGATAGCTTCCACTTCTCCATGAGGCAGGAGATAGTGCATTCACTGAAAGCAGCAGTCTGAGGAGGTGCGGTCTAGACAGGAGCTATGGACAGTATCCTGTGCTGTGAGAGCTGCCTAAGAAAGCAAGCATCCTCCCCCGTGGCTTCCTCTAGCCTGTCTGCCTACATAGATGCCCAAGAAAGGGGCCAGGGGGCCAGGGATTTAGCTGCCGCCTGCCTCGCAAGCACAAGGACCCGACTTCCATTTCCAGTACCAAAGGGGTGGGGTAGGGTTGTGGCAATGACTTGCTCTAAGAGTATAATGGTGATGAGCCTGGAATCTGTGCCAGGCCAAGAGGAAGAAGTGGGTATCCCTGACCCCAGCCCACAGATACAACTCAGTCCCTGTCAGGCACCAGAAGTTTCCAAGTCCAAACCTCCTTATGGGCCACACTCATTTCTCTCCAAGCCTGTGCCCCTGTGCACAGACCAGGCACAAGGTCAGAAGCAGGGCTTCCTGTGACTTCTTCCTTTACCCTCTTTGGCCCCAGCCCCACCACCCAATCATTCGTGAGTCATGTTATCTCTTTCACCTCTCAGTCCTCTTTTCCAGCCTCTACTGTCCACCTGGTCAAGCACAACATACTTACAGGTGCTCTTCTGCTCTCTACTCTGGATCCAGTTCACTCCTCCATTAACACTCACTGCAGGTTTTTACTGCCCTCAGAGATACAGCCTGCACTTCCTGTATGGCCCTGCATAATCTCATTCCCTCTGCCGCTCAAATTCATCCCCACTGGCAATCACCCTCACCTGCCAGTTTCCAGCCACATCCACTTCTCCCTACTCAGAGCCATCAGCTCATGCTCATCCCTCCCACAAGACTGTGCGGTCCCCGACTTCCACTCCTGTACCACAGTTAGCCACAGTTAGCTCATTTTCTCCTCTGGCCTAGGGCAACCAGTATCCTCTTCTTCCCTTAGGGTCCTCTCAGGCTCACCCATCCCTGCCTTCCCTCAGCTGGGTCTCTCTTCACACCGTAAATCCTCCATAGTGCCCCACACCTACCAGGTGCTGCCCTGTGCAGAAGAAACACCGTCCAGCTCCCCCAGAGGGCACCCAGATAACCCCTCTCCAGAGAGCAGAAGCCCCAGCCCAGACAGATGGACCTCAGCACAGTTACCTGAGCAGGAAGGTGCGGGGTGGGGCCCAGACTTGGCCCAGGATGCGCCTCACCTCCCTCTGCACCATTGCGGGCTGCTGGCCTTTCCCAGCCCGTCCCGGGGCTCTCCTTGAGAGGAGGCTCTGCACCCTGTGTGGGGCAGGAGGAGGGGCTGGCTGAGCAGGCTGCAGGGCTCAGGTCACCCCCAGGGCACACTCTGCATCTGTAACCACATTCTGAGGAGGGGCCCTCCCCCTAGCCCTCTCCACCCTGCTAGGGAGCCTCAAAGTAAGGCTGGACTGCATTCCTTCTCCTCACCCAGTGCTCTCCATGATCTTCTGTGAGGCATCCAGGCAGGGGGGGATGTGCTGCTCCAGGGACCACAGGAAACAGCAAAGCCTGCGAACCAGCCAGCCCCGAAACCTGGGCACAGCATGGTGGTGGTGGAGGGTGTCAGAGCAGTCTCCTCCAGGGCACAGAGGCCTCCTCAGGAGGGGGTCACACTCCAGAGCTGTACCACAGGACACCTGAGCTCGGTTTATCACACACCAGGAAGGGGTGCCCGCTATCTCAGCCCCAATACCCTGACCCCACTGAGGGGCACACTGGGTGGCATGTACCTGCTCACAGAAGGAGCAAAGGACTGTGCCAAGCCTGCCTCTCCCCACAGTGGGAAGGAGCACTGGAAGGGCACCCTTCTTTTCTTAGCACACAAACAGGGCCCAGAAGCCAGCATCCCAAAGGCCCTGCCCACACTATCCCTGATACCTGGTATTCTCCTCCTTCACCAGGATCACATTGCAGAAGCCCAGGTCCATCAGGCTCCTGTGGAAGAAGGACTCCTGCCCGGGGGCAGGGACTATGTCCTGGGGCCTACACACCTGCCCTGCCACTCTAGCCTCTGCTCAATGTCCCTTCATGTCCACCAGGAGAAAGAAGCATAGCAGTTATCTCCCAAAAGGTGCCTGACCCAGTCCCTGATGCCGGCTCAGGAAAAAGGGTTCCGTGCTCACAGTGGAGCACAGCACCTGCCCAGAATCAACCTCCTGGAGAGCAGCAAATGGACAATCCCTGAGGACTCAAAGCCCAGATCTCCACTGGAACCCTGGTCCTCAGCACCAGCACCCACCATGGACACACAAGGGGTCTCAAAGCATGTGCAGAGTGACATGGACATCAGCCCTCCAGGTACAACTGTTCTCCCAGGGCTCCTCTGCCTGCTCAGCCAACTTGCCTAGGCCTGGGAGCTGGCCTAGCAACACCCAATGCCAGTGCTTCCACTCCCAGCAAAGACCAAAGCAGAGGCCCAGCACAGGCAAGAAAAGTTGTAAAGGAGGCAGATTTTGGGCAGCCGTCTTATCACTTACCCAGCTTTTAGGGGTGCAGGTCTGGCAGCAGCGACCCACAAAGGGGCGATACTTGCCCAGAAATGGGGTGACAGCCTCCAGCTTCATACTAAAGCCTGAGGAACACAGGCTAGCCTGGGAAAGGGCCACAAGGAGAGAGGACTCAAAGTCCTTGGAAGAGGAAGGAGGGCACCAAGATTGAGAGGCACAAGAGGGGAGGTGAGAGGGCAGAGGGCATTCTGTGAATGGGCACCACTACCTCTGGGCCACTGTGGCTGCTCCTCTTCTGGGTTTGGGATCCAGATTCCAGCATAGTGTCAAGGTGAGTCTCTAAGATCTGGGAACCAGGCACCTCTCCCTGCAGGAACCTCGCCTTAAGAAAGGGGAAAGACGCCATATGGAGTCTGAACCATAACCTGGGAGCTCTTGGGATGACCTGTGGCCCCATCCTCAGGACAGACAGACAATGCCCAGGTCCGCAGCAGTGATGAAGACATAGGAAGCCAGGAGCTGGCTCAGCTCAAAGCCCCAAGGAGCCAGCTGTCCTCAAGAGGCCTTGCAGTGCAACAGGTCAGGAGCTTTCTCACACCAGCACAGGGGAGACTGGCTGTCCTACCAGCAACATGCAGAGCCTTACTGTGCAAGGGAAAGCATAGGCTGGACTGCAGAACAGCTGTGAGACTACCAGAGAGCAGCAGGGCTGTCACCAGGAGGCAAGCAGGTCCTACTCAGCTGCCCTTCCCTTCCCTGAAGACAGCCCTTTGCCCATCCATCCTTACAGGGGTGGGGGCTGGCACAGAGGAGACACCCAGGGATCAGAACACAGAGAAATACTGCACAGACCTGGTCACAAGAATGTTCATCCAGCTTGGGACAGGGTGAGACTGCCACACTCAATCCACTTTCGTGTGGCATTCTCCACAAAGGGTACCACTTGGCATCACCTTAGCTCCTCCTTCCCACTGCCACAGTTTCCACAACTAGTAAATATCTACCTTCTACGAAACAGCACCGAATCCCTTTTGGCCCAAATAAATAAGGCCCAAAGTCCTTTCTACCCTCATCCTTTGCCTCATCCCCGGCCTGTTTATGTTTTTCTCTCCCCACTTTTTCCTTTCCTGCAAACCCCAGACCCTGCCCTCAGTGTTCATGATTCTTCTGGAACATTCTCTCCTGGGGTTCCCAGCCCAAGGTCACTGGGTGAGCAGCCACATGAAGCCCCAGACCAGGGCTCAGCTTTCCCCTCCCCCACATCATCCGAAGGTGCCCTAAGAGCAAATGCTACATCTCTGTGCACCTGGCAGTCCATGCAAAGGAGGGAGGCAGGAGGGGCTAGATGACTGTGACTTTCTGTCCAGGAAGTCAGGCTCTCCTTTTTACTGTCCAGTTAGTTCAGTTCAGAACCATGAAAGCCAGAGCCAGGCATGGTGGCACATGCCTATAATCCCAACACTTGAAAAGCTGAAGCAGGAGGACTGCTCCAAGTTCAGGGCCAGTACACAGTGATATCCAAGCCAGCCTCAACTATATGGTGAGACACTGTCTCAAAAAGCAAAAACATCAACAATACAAAAAGAACCACAAAGCCAAGGGGTAGTAGGATCATTGTTACTGCATGATTATTGTTTCAAAAATGTTCTCACAACCCCATTGACAGACACTGGCACAGAAAAGTTCCAAGCTACAGCTGCAATCTGGGGAGTCCAGCCTCCCTTACCAGGATGTCTGCCCCTGCCTCAGGGTCAGAACACCCCCATTCCCAAATCCTAACCCCACTGAGCTCTGGCCCTGAAAGGGCAGAGCAAAAGACAGGGCAGGGGGTGACTTCCACCTGCCAATGAAGTTGACTACTGAGCTCACACAGTCCAGGAAGGTCCAGGACACATCTAGCACCTAAGTCCCCACATGGGGACTCTATGGGTCTGTAGCTTCTGCCTATAGTCTCCTCCCACTAGAACACCTACTGCAGAGGTTGCAAATTGGCATCCCATGGACCAGATGCAGTTTACACAAATACTTCTGACTACATCATGTGCTAAAGCCATATAAATTAAGGGCCAACGTATAAAAAGTGGAGAGCTTGTTATATAATAATCAGACTGCTAGTTGCTGCTGTAAAAGTGACATAAAATTCGGGGTCTCTGTGCTACACCCCACAGGGTGTCAGCTGGAGCCGACAGGAGGCCACTGTCCCATTCCTTAGAATGTGGCTACAAATGAGTCCTTGACCCACCTTCGGGACCCCAGATCTTGTGAAAGACTTCAGGGGCCCCTACCCGCCTTCAGGGCCTGCCCCTGCCCTTTGCCCCTGTGCACATCTGAGCTCGCATCCTCAATCCAAGGAAGAAATCCAAGCCGCTGGCATCATCAGTGTCCATGCCAACTGAGGACTCGTCCTTTCAGGCTCGTTTGAACCTCCGGCCCCTGACCCGGGCGACCCCTGACCCACGGCGGAGGGACAAGGGGTGACTCCTGAGTGGCACAGGCCAACATCCCTCCTGGATGCCGCCCACCCTTCCCCCGGTCTGGGGTGACGCAGGCAGAGGATGACACCAAGCAGGTTCCCCTGGGCTCTCCCCGCAACAGGATCCCTGAGAACTCCGCGCGAAGGGCCTGCGAGGCGGGCGCTCCATTCTGTCCACGCAGACACCGATCCCACCTGCACCCGAAAGGCCCGCTGGGCCCAGTTCCCGACACAGGAAGGTCCCTGAAGGGCCCAGGGCCTGGTCCGACCCGGCCCGGCCTGAGAGCAGCTTCCGCAGATTACACCTCGCACCTACCTCCGACTCCCGCCAAAGCCACGGTAGAGCGAGGTTGCCGAGAAAGACTAGGCCTGGCGGCCTCAGCGTGCCGACGTAAAACAGCCTGGGAGCCAATGGGATGTGCACTGGGCCTAAAGCCCCGCCCCCCGTAGCGCGCGGGGCGCGGGGCGGGATCACCCGCCTCTAGTTGAGTCCTCTGTCGCTGCATTCCTTGCCCGGCAGCCTCTGGAGGTCGTGCAAGGACCTCTAAAGACTTCTGCGAGAGCAGAGGCCCCCAAGGTGGGGCAAAGATTCATTTGTTGCCAGATTCTTTTTTTTGGGGGGGTACCGTTTATCGAACTGGGTCCTTTCGCTTGCAAGGCAGGTGGTGGAACCGCTGAGATAAATCCCCGGCCCAAAATTACAATCTTTTTTTTTTTTTTTTGAGACTAGGGATTGAACTCAGGACCTTATACTTGCAAGGCAGGCAGCGGAAAGACTGAGCTAAATTCCCAGCCCTTGTAACCAGATTCTAACAAAAGAAATTCTCAGCCAGATGTGGTGGTGAACCCCTGTAATTACAGCACTGTGGGAGGCTGAGGCAGGAGGATCACAAGCTAGAGCCTAGCCTACGCAATTTATTGACTTAGCAAGATCCTGTGTAAAAAACATTTTAAAAAGGGATGGACATTGGACCAGGGATTTAGTTCAGTGGTACCGCCACCTGCCTCACAAGCACAAGGTCTGGAGTTCAATCCCTGGTACCAAAAAGGTGGGGGGGGTGGAAATATTGCAGAATGCCAAGGCCTTAGGGTGGGGGGGAGAGAGGAAGGGAGAGAGAGAGAGAGCTAGTTTGGGGGCCATAAAAAATCAGTCAGCTCCCCCTCCAGCCCCCCAGCCTTCGCTTCTCCCTTAATTACAACTCTTGGTGGACCTCACAGGTTCATTCCGGCATGCCCTGGCATGCAGTGTGGAGTAAATGAAGGAGAGGATGAGGGCACTGTTTCGGAGCTGCTGTTCCTCCTCCGTGGGCCACTTGACATGCCAGAGGACTCCATGTCTTCAGGACACTGTGACACTGCAAGAGCAGACAGATGTAAGCCCGCTGGCCCTGGATGACAAGAAGCCCCATACACAGCCCTCTTTGTCTGCTGACTCAACACTCCGATGTGACTCCCTAGCTGTCCCCTCAGGATGCAGCCACCTCTCCCTTCCCTTGTGACCATTTGTGTCTGCCCAGGCCAATTTTCTGTCTGCTCACCTGCTTTTCAGTGTCTGCTAGTGTCGCAGAACCCATTTTGTACCCTACCTTTCTATACCCAGGAGCACAGGCCAAAAGAAAACTGAGGTTCTGAAGCTGAAAATAAAAACCATCCTTTGTTTATGTTGCCTGCCCCTCTGTTCTGGGAACGCCCTCTGAGTGGGCAGTTGAACTTCGGTCACTGATGGGTCTCTTCTGTCCTTAGGGAGCTCAGAGGCTGAGACGCTGTGGACTACAAGGTCCTGTGGTTGTGACACACCAGGGTGTCATCTGGCAGAGTCCTGTCCTCTGAAGTGTTGCTTACTTGGAAGAAATGTGTTTGGTGGGAGTGATGGCTTCCTGCAATTCACACATTTAAAAGAAGGCTCACCTTAAATCTGCACCTGAGTTGGGGCAATGAAGACCAAGTATGCTCATCTCAAGCAGTTTGCAGACTGACTGTAATCAGCGTGGCCCTGGGAAGAAGAAAAACTCATCTGGACTCAGCCCTACCTAACCTGGACTAGACTTAAGGGGAGGGAGCCCTTAAAAATTAGAATTCTAAGATATTTTGAGAAAAGGAGATTTATGATCTAAAAGAATGTTTTGAGACCTGGTGACCACAGTTCAGTAGAGTGAGCAGAGCACTGGACTTCTTGGGCTCTTTTCCTAATGGGACTGTTCCACTGATTGCAACCAAAATACACTTAAGAAGACAGTGGGTTGGCTTATATAGGTAGAAACTGTATGCATGTCAGCTTCAGGCATAGCTAGGTCCAGGTGTTCAGACAATGGTATTGGTCCTTGGATTCTCTCTCCAGTGTCTGTACTGATCATGTCTGCCTAGTTTTGCTCCTTCCGAAGGCTCTCCTATTTTTAAAAAAATGACTGAAAATAGCCCCAAAATTATATTCACCCTATTATCCATAACATAGGTAAAAATGTCTATCACCCAGCATCCAAATGGAAACCCCAGAGAAGACTGATTGGTTTTGCAAGGCCACCTGCTACCCTCTGGACCAATCACGGCATCTAGGAAGTGCGGTGTGTGGAGTCATTTTGGTTGGGCCAACACCCCTGCCCCCTTTCCTGTGTCCTGTATTCTAGTCTAGCAGGAATGGTGCATTAAGGGCTGGGTTCTCATAGGGAAGAGGCGCTGACTGGCAAAACATGTTCACTGTGGAATCTAACTGGACTTCCCAACACTAGGCTGGGACTAATTGCTCACTGCTGCCTCCCAGTGCACAGTGGAGAAGACACTGTGCTGTGGCCTCTTGATAAATATTTGTCAAGTAGAGTGACTTCCTTTTCAGTGAACCTCACTTCCTTTGAAGGGAGTGACAGTCTGGCTGCTTACTTCGAAGGTCAAGCATGGCTTATTAAGGTCATGGGGTGGACAGGTGTGATAATGGTCACCCAACCCTGTGAATGCACTTGTCCTGCTGGACTGCATCCTAAGAGTGGTTAAGAAGGTCAGTTCTATCACATAAGTTCTGCCACCACCGTTGGCAACATCATCTCACACTCACATGGTAACAGAATTCTCAATGAGCCCCAGTTGCAAGGCCTTATACAATCCCCTCCCATTGGGTGTCGGGGGCAGGATCTACAACTTGCTTCTCAACAGAAATGACAAAGGCCAAAGCGAAGTTCTGTGGAAAGGCTGAAGGAATCTGCTGATGTAGCTAAAGCAGTCAGTCAGTTGCATTTAAATTCATCAAAAGGAGATTATCCTGGGCGGGCCCATGCTAATCAGATGAATCTATTAGAAAAGGGTATCACAAATTTGAACCTAGCCTTTTGCAACTTAGTGGCTTAGCAAGCCCCTGTATCAAAAAATAAAAGGCTGGGGATATAGCTCAGTGCAAAGGCTCTGGTTTCACTCCCCAGTACTACACCTGACACACACCTGTAATCCCAGATACTGGAGAATAGCAAGTTCAATGCCAGCCTGAGCAATTTAGCAAGACTCTGTCTCAAAAATAATATTTTTTTAAAGCCTGAAGCTGTAGTTCACTGGCAGGGTACTTGCCTAGCATGCACAGCTCCCTGGTTTTAAACCCCAATACTCGAGGAAAAAGAGAGAGGCTCTCTCTCCTGCTGATCTTGCAGAAGTGAGTCACCTTGGGTTCCACAGCCCCTTGGAGTGGATTCCGCCAGTGTCCTGTGTCCTCAGGAAGCAGATGGCTCCTTGGTGGCACCGCTGTGAAGGCAGCACCTAGCCAACACCTGGTTGCAGCCTGATCATATGACCCAGTTAAAACAAGCCCAGCTCCTACACCTCAGAAGGTGGAGGATATAAAGTGGCCACTGGGTGGTCAGCAACTTGTTACACAGCTGTAGAGGATGAATACAATCTACTATACAGGCTAAGCAGAGCCAGCCAAGGGAGGCAAGTGCTGGTGTGGAATAACAATGATGTGGCATGCACGAGAGAGGTCTCTGTGAGGGGGTTTGGACCACAGCCCCCAACCTGACATTCATTCCTGGTGCTGGTGTCAATGATGCTAACACAGTGTCTATCACCCATCCATATCAGAAGTCTCCATGCAGGGTTCTTTGTGTGGCCCTTTGGCAGGGGAAGTTGTCAGAGGCAACCTAGGTATTCATCTCTGGGGGAAAGAAAGGCAAAAGGGGTCCAGTCCCCGCCTCAGGGAGCTGGGCAGTAGTGAGGAGAAATTAAATGTATGCAGTACAGCATGAAAGGGGCTTAAAAACGATCCTGAGTTTAAAAAGTAGGAAAGCAAGAAGTCCTCGCTTTGTGAAGTGAAAATTTCTACATTAGATGCTGAATGTCATGAGAAAGAAAAGCATATTAATCAGCTATGAACCGAAAGTGGCAGTTTTAGAACAAGAAATTAAGGATAAAGACCAGCTTGTTGTAAAAGTAGGAAACAACCAGGGGACCCAGACATACCATTTGCAAAAATTAAACACACACACACACACACACACACACACACACACACACACACACACACACACACACACACAATGTCAAAGCCCAGCATGGTGGCACATGCCTGTAATTCTAGACACTTGCTAGGCAAGCGCTCTACCAGTTTCATCCTCAGCCCCCCAGCTTTAAACAAAGCCGATTTATTGACTCAAGTGCCTCAGCAGTACACGACGGGTTTCAGGTTCAGGTGGGTCAGGTTCAAAGGCTGCCTTCTGGAAGTCCTGGGTACTTTCCAGTCTGCCCTCCTCTGTGGAGGTCTCATTGCCAGGCTGACCACCTTGAGGGGCAAATTCGGGACAAGGGCTTCCCGAGACAGAGCAGAGGTGTGGGCAACCTTCCCTGGAGGTGCTCCCACAAAGCCCTGAGGCCTGTCCTAGAGGGGCTGTACCCTGATGGCTGAGACAGGGTCCCCTAAGCACCTGTGACAGCCAGCAGGTCTCCATAGGGTTCTAGGGTATGCAGCCTCTGGAAGGCCTCATGCTGGGCCTGCAGCTGGAAGGGTGGACATGAGTGTCCCTTGTCTGCCTGGCTCAAGTGTGACACCCCCAGGGACAACAGAGATCAGTGGTCTCTAGGCCTGGGGATGTCGATGGGTTTTGCAGTTCGCAGACTCCACTGGCAGCTCCACGAAGGTGGCCCCCGGGGGAGAGGTGACATTCAGGCCCCTGAGCATTTTCTCCTCCTGTCCCGGACACAGTGCCCCTTTCCCAGGGTTGAGAGCGATGGGGTCTGAGGTTTTCTTTTCCGGTGAGGGGATCAAAGCCAAGTGTTTTAAACACCAAGGACCTCGGGGAGGACGCCATGGGGGTCCCAGACACCTGGAGAGAGCCAGTGTTCCCAGCAAATCTCTGTCATCAGCCGCCTGCCCCATTCATCCCACCCTCCACCCCTGCTCGCCAGCCCAAGTGCTGGTGAGGGCTGCCGGCTTTGTCTGGGAGTAGCGCTGCCCTGGGATGCCGGCTCTGAAGCCCCAGACTGCCACTCCCATCCCAGTGCAGCGCCCCAACCCACCCCACCCTGCCTCCCGCCCCTGGGGCCTTGAACGCAGCCGAATTTCTCCAGGGCTGTGTTATGTAAGGAGCAGCCCCGCTCCACCACTGCCCCCCCTCCACGATGCTGAGTTCAGGCTGATGATGAGCAAATACCACGCACGCTGCCTTTCCTCAGCTGCTTGATGCTGGACTGTCCCCCTTCCCGGGCTGGAAGTCAAGGAGAGCAGAAATGAGGGACAGAGTTAGAATCAGCTGCATCAACAAGGGAGATGTGTCTCCTATACCCAACAGCCAAAAGATAGGATGGCCCAAGACCAGGATCAATCTTCCCTCCTTTAAATTCCTATGTCAGATATTCTGTCCCAGTGATAAACAGCTGACTAATACATCAGGCAATGATAAGGGGGCTCCACCAAGATCTTTCAACAGAAGATTTTCCTCTATATGAAAAGCTCTTTCCCTCTTTCTCTTTTCCATCCCTTTCCTTCTTTCTAGTTTTTGTTCACTATTTAGTGAGGATGTGATGTTTGGGACTACTGCAGCAATTTTGCAACACTGAGGGAAACACCAAGGAACCCCCAGGCTTGTCAACCCCATGATTTGATTTCATTGGGCTGTAAGACAGTGGGGACCACAAAGGTATTGGGTGGGTAATGTAGACTGCTCAGTTATGCCCAGATTAGTGGAGTTGCCAAACACACCCTGACACAGAGCTTAGTTTCTATCAGAAGAACTATTAAATACAGATCATCCTAT